TATTAAAAAATCTCAGAATATAGCTTTTTTTAGTTAAGTCATTCACTTCTCAGTTATAAGACACATTTAAGGTTTCTAAAGTCCACAGTTAACTCTCTGGAATATCTCTCTTGAGGTCTTAGATTTACCATATAGTGTTTTTCTATAAATTATTCCCAGTAAAAAAGACTTCTACTTTTTTTCACTAAGACACGTCTCCCATTAGAACAGGCTACATTAGAATTTTTTAAATTACGAAGTAGATCAGCACAACACAGTCTTTTATAATCAAATCTTTAATAGTTTTACCACAAGGTTTATAAAATTGCTTACCAGACGTAAAGGAGGAAATGACTTTCATTCTTAGATAGCTGGAACAATTTCTGCAAAAATTACAATTTTCCTAATCTAATTATTTGACTAAGAACTAACATCTCACTTTTGATAAATAATCATGGAGATACAACCTTGGATAATACTCTTTTGGCAAATACTTTTATCAATGTATACAATCTTGAGGAAGTCTAATGTAAACATAAATTTATGCTCAATTTGAGATTTTGCTGCACTGTTTCCTTTATTCAATTTTTATGACTTTCAGAGATTTGCTAGCTAAACAATTCACAACAATAACTTTGACATTTTTATGTACCTTCCTAGTTGTGTGTTCACCAACACAGTACTACCAGATGCCTGGCAAAGGAACATAGGGCGCTTAACATTAATCTCATTGTCACTCTTTTGCCAGAGGCCTTTCCTGAACTTCATCTGTCCTGTATAACTGAATACTTTTCTCTGAAGACAGGATTTGTTTCATCAGTATTCTTTTCCAAATCAGATAGTGCCAGCTCTTTCAACTTCTGCTACATTACCTATAAATATGATAAAATTATACTTATAAGCAAAAGACTAAAATATTCAGTTACAAATTCAATTATGTTTCTGAGATTATAAATTTAATCTATATAACAAGATACATTATCACAATTATAGATTTTTAGCTTGTGGTTTCAAAGTCTGAAACTCAAATTTGGTAAGCTGCTATATGTACATTAAAAAAATATATACAATATCAGGCATTTTTTCTTCACCTGACACAAAATGACTACATGTTCAAACAATAGAGCTGCAAGAGATGAAAAAAAGCTCAAGATGAGCTCCAATATCTGCAAACAGGATAATCAGAAAAATTAAGTATTAAATGTACAATAATGGGTATTCAGAAAGAGATGGCCACTAAGTGCCAAATGACTGAGTGAAAATATCCATTAGAAATATTTAGAAAATATTTCTAAATATAATCTTTACTCTAGAAAGTATCTCAAATAAATTCTACAATTCTCCTGGTAGAATATCTAGTTAGTATATTAACTATAATGGAATTTTTTTCCATGAAAAAGTTATGAAAATTCATGAAAAAATTTAAGTAAATTTATTCCCTGCGTTCCAATATGTATAAATGGCATATTTTATCTGAAACTAAATCATTATTTTCTCATTTGCTATAATATCCATGCCAACATTTTAAAATTAAGGAAAAAAACTGAAAGAGTTATTCCATTGCAATAGTTATTTCACCTGATCAGGTGAAGTCAGTTAGTATGCAACATGCAAATCAAAAACAATAACATACAATCTTATTGGTACCAATCATATTCCTTTTATTATATTATAAAAGATAGATTCTGATACCTTGTTTTTTATTTGCAAATCCTCATTTCTATTTGTAGTCCTGACATACAGGCAAATATTAAGGAAATCATAATACTTATTTCTAGTTTCTAAACAGCAAATAGCTTTTACTCCAAATGTATCTTGATACAAGTAGAATAACTCATTTCTAAGCAAGTAATATCATATTTAAGAGCTATTTCTGTATCCCAAATCAAAGCATACAAGTAATGTTTAAAATATGTAGGTATGCCTTTATATATTTCAGAATGCTTAAGAACACAAGATTCATCATCTTATTTTAATGATTTTATATCACTCCAATTTAAAGATGCCATCTTCCTTCTATTTTCCCTACTTGTTACCTTAAAAAGGCTAGATTACCTGCCTTGTACAACATGTAAACAAATTGTATGGAACCTAGCCTCTGAAATAACAAGATTTCTTTTTCAGTTCTGCTACCTAAGATCAACTATGCAAACAGAACAGATAGTATTCTATACTATCAGGCTTTCCTTTCTCATAAATGAAAATGAAATTATATACACAATTGTTTCACTTCTATGAAATAAGGATCAGAAAATACCTTAATATATTCTAGTAATTTTATGAGAGTTGGTACATGAAGTAAACAACACCTCATAAAATGGATCACTGTGAAGTTCAAACTATTAGGTACAATACTATCAAGATAAAATATCACTAACATAATTATACTTTGGACTGTCTAAAATGTTTTTGTACTTTACCTCCAAAAATAATCTGGATGACTAGGTGATTAACCTTCACAGTTTAGTCATTTCCTTCATATCTTTTGTTTACACAAGAGGGGGAAAGTACACCCAAATGGAAACTGGGGCTGCAAAGAAGGCAAGAGGAAAAGGAGTGAAGCATTTAGCATAGATAATATTTTCCCCCAGAATACATTAGGTTGCTAAAATAAAAAATTATCTCCAAGTCAAGTTCAGCTTCTGGAGACTTCATGGATACCATCCATGTAATTTTCGTGGCAGCAATATGGAGCTGCCAATGCCTTCTGGGATAGTGTTTTGATTTCCAAGTCTAGCCTACAGTCTGGAAATCCCTGGTGGTCAGCTTCTGAGCCTAAATAAGGTCAGCTAGATGTTACCATCTGCTCAGAAATTGACTGGTAAAATTACCCAAACTGCTTTATAGCTGTCCTTCCTTTGAGCCTACAACTAACTTTAATAGTTCTATTTGAACAAGAGACCATTATCAATACATCCAGAAAATCAGTTTAAGCCCCAAGCCCTCTAAAACTGAAAGTACAATTAAACCCAAGAAACCTTTCAACTATCTGCCCTACAAATATGTTGGATTACAAAACAAGGGCAATACAGGCTGAAGATAAGATCTATATTCAGTACATCTGGAGAACATCACAATGAGGAACACTAAAGAATTTGTGAAAACAGATGTAATGAGAGAATATATGAGTGTTAAATCAAGTGATATAGCAGCAAAATGATTAATCTCCTAGTAAGATCCTAGTAGTCAGAGACTAATCTGTATAAACTCTATGCACAAGAGTCTCCTTAAAAGAAATGTGTTTAATACATTACATTCTTCAGGTTTTTTTAAAAACAGCACTAATATATATAATATATATTTACATTTTAAAAAAATATTAACTCTAAATTACTTTTATGACATAACCATAGTCAGATGCTTACAACTGACAATATATTCTTATAAATCATGGGCTATTTTTGTTACAATTAACCAAAATAGTTTACTGAGCAATATACTAGTGGAACAAAAAGAAATTATTTCATGTTTTGAATTCAAATATCAATATGTTGTAAAAAAAAAAAAAGTAAGTACACGGTTCAGAATAAATAAGCACATCACAACTGAATCATAATAAAGATCATGATTATTAAACTGAATTATGCTTGTGCTAAAATTTGGGGGTTTCAAAGTAAAACAGCAGTAAATATTTTTATGATCACAGTAAACATATTCCAGCATGTTTCCTTTGCTATTTAAGAAACAAGATCTTAGTTTCTACTACTCCTGCACATTAAACAATTATACCGGTATGCTTGAATTCTAAGATACACTTACTTGGCAATAATGTCTCTAAAACAGTGAGTGTACTTCCAATAAGCATGCAAAAGATTACATTGTAAACTTAGAACTTCCAAGTTAAGTACTGAGTTAATAACAGTACTATATTGTCTTAACCTGAAGTACTATATTGTCTTAACCTGAAGAAAAATACCTTACTCTTCAAGAAAATCAAGAGAATATATACAGCATGAATTTAAAAAGATGTTTAGGATATAATCCTGTACTAATTTACCTTGGAAAAAGACTCACTGAACTCAGCCTGGCTTAGTGCTGAACAGACTTGTACAGGATTGGATGCATTGTTAATTACTGAAAGATGCCTATATCGTTGATGCATTTTGAAATTCAATCAGATAGTAAGCCTTGTTTCCTAAATTAGTGCATCCTTCACCTTCATCTTTGTTTTATCTCTAGCAGCTAATTATGATTGCAATAACAGCTACCTTTTCAAGAAGAAAAAACCATGTACAGTACCAACATTCAAATCAGTATTTCCTTTAAAAATAGTTTAAGCCGCAGGATATATTTTTGACCAAAATATAATTTAGATATTCAAAATATGAGTTAAGGACCATTATCTTTCGACCCTACCACCCCAAAATAAGTTGGCGCTTGTGTCTAAACTAGTGCTAAGAAAAGGCTACTCCTTAGTTACGGATTATAATTCGGCTGTCAACAGGGGAAAGCCAGGAGCAAAGCGGGATGAGGAAAAAAGGGGTGGCCATGGCGATCTGCTCGTTAAAATCTGGGGAATATGAGAGGGGCGTGGTCACCCGGAACGATTCGTCTCCACGATCATCCCCCACCAAGGGCAACTTTCTCCAAGTCGCTCAGCTTCTCATCATGGATGTGCCTCGCTCGGCGAGGGCTAATCTAAACACTTCCTTCCTTCACCCGTTCCGGCGGATACAGACCGGCCTAACCCCTTCCCCCAAACAAAGGGCCCTCTTCCTCTCCCCCAAAGGGGCGGGAGGCCAGGCCGGAGTGGGCGGGGCGGAGCCTAGGCCGCGGTTGCTCCGTGAGGCGCAAATGGGGGAGGGGTAGAGAGCGCGCGAGAAGCGACCGATCCGCGCGTGCGGGCGGGCGCGTGCAGGGCCAGCCGGCGAGCGGTTGAGCAGGTGGGAGTGAGTGGGGGGGGGAGGGTGCGGCGCGCTGTCCCCTCGCTGCAAGGGAAGGGAAAGGGGGAGGGGGGGTCAAACAGCGGTCAGCTTCCCCTCCTCCCAGAGAGTCTCCTCGCTCCCCCCTCGGTCCCTCACCCACACAGCGCAGCAGCCGGTGTCGCCACGAGTCGAGCTGGTGGCGGAAGCCGCGCCTCTCGATGGAGCACTTCTGCCGCCCGCACGGACTCGCCATCTTCTGGGGGAGGGGCCCCAAGTCACCGCCGGCACGCCTCTGCCATCTGCGTCACGCTCGCGTCAACGCGCACGAGCCGCGTGGGGGCGGGGCGCAACTGCCTACGACCGCCCGAACCACAGTGGGCGGGCTTTGGTTACATGGCAATCATAGCTGGGATAAAAGCCTCTGTTGTTGGCAGGTGGGGAATCTCTTCCCTCCTCCCCTCGCGTCTCCCGCTTGGGAGGTCCGCCGAATTCGGCCAGAGATGCGTTCCGGCCAGGCTCGGCCCACTAATAGGAGAGTTTAAATTAGGAGCGAACTCGTGCGATAAATGGATGTAAAATCTACACAAATGCGACTTTCTAAATCCAAGGGGTGCCACCAACTAGCCTGCAGGCCATTGGACGCGGAAGTCCTTCCAAATAAACAAAATTAAGTTCAACTGCAAGAGAAAAGAGTTAAATTTGACATGAAAATAAGAGGCATTCTTTTTCAATCTTTTAAATAACAAAACGTATTTCTAATATACGTTAAAAATATTTAAACCCTACGCGATCATCTTTAGGTATGGTTGGTACAATTTCATGAGGCTCTGCAACATTGCCTTTCATTTCTTCACATTTCTTCCCACAAGTATTAAGGATATATAGAATGACTTCCTGAACCTGAATGTTCTGTATTCAAACTTGATATAATTATATTATGAAGAATGCTTCTTCAGAAAAACTATGTTGAAGAAACCACATTTTGAATATTCCACCACAACTTCTATATATTTGTAAAGTATCCCAAAATCTGTTCTTCTATCCAGAAAACAGATATTTCACTGCATTGCCATATTTCATGGCATTTTGAATGAAAAACAATTGGAAATGTACATTATTTCTATAATAGTACAATATTTATATACTAAAAACCTGGCCGAAGAAGAAAAAATGATTACACATAACAGGAAAAATCTGCCAGAAGGCAAGTAAGGCGGCAACTCGATTCCAACTCAAAGCTACATTTTCTGCTGCATCTTTCTCCCATTAAATGTGCTCTGCCTCAGATACTAAAAGATAATTAGTTCAAAATAATATGGAGGTTTACAGCTATTAAGAAACTCCCTGGATTCATTGTAACAAAAGAAAATTGAACCACCAACTATATCATTACAATGAAAATATTAGAAATATTCTAAAATCTTTCAGCTTTTGTAAAAAAAAATTACTGTGTCCTTTTACTGTAGGTTACATTAGGCAAGGGTTTATTCATCTTTAATTGGCGAACAACCATATTCCTTCACGAATGTTGCTTTAGTTCATTTCTTATCATTTATTTTCTAGGTAATCCAAACTCCTCTGTCACATTGAACATTTATAGACTGCTAACTTTACCCTGGCCAAAGACAACAGATGTATTATTTCACCCACTTATCATATGAAGGAACAAACTGATGAGTAACATCTTCTGCCATATACTTTCAGCACAATTAATACTTTGTCTCCTAACAGATCTCACAGATATTGGTCGTATTTGGCACAGTGTCATGAAAAGAGCCTGTCTCATCTGTCACTACATAATTCTGAAACCATGTAGTATGATGCAGCAATTTCTGTATAAGCTTCTTCAATAAATCTTGACAGATTTATTTTCGGACAAGAGGACCGGACTACAGTGGTTCATGCCCTTATCTGTAACCAGTTAGATTATTGCAACTCGCTGTATGAGGCTGCCTTTAAAGGAAACTTCAGTTGGTGCACAACGCAATGAAACAGAGTATTCTTGGATATGGACTGTTGGGCACATATACCTGTTCTCTAGCCCTGCAATGGCTGCTTATTAGCTCCTGAGTGCAGTTTTAAAAGCTGGTCTTAAACTATAAAACTCTTTATGGCTTAGCACTTGGCTTCCTGAATCTCACCATTAGAATTGGCCTGATGGTTTAGATCCTGCTGGAATTGTCCCCAATTCCAGATCATGAGGGGCACTATTTTTTGGTAATGGGCCTGTCCTCTGGAATGACTTCGTTGGAGGTTCATTTGTCCCCAGCTTGTCTGTTTTCCAGAAAAAGTTGAAGACTATACAGTTTCCAGAAGATTGCCGGAGCTCACCCTGTATTGTGCTGGGCTTTGTTTGCCTTATTTCTAAGTTGCTTTATTATTTTTAAATATTTTTCCCGTTTTTAGTATTTGTATGAATAACTCAAAGTAGCAAAGATACTAATGCTCCTTCCTCCTCCTATTTTTCCCATTACAATTCTGTCGGGTAAGTTGGGCTAAGAGAGAATGACTGGCTCAGTCATCTAGCTGACTTTCATACCTAAAATGAGACTAGAATTTATAGCCTGGTTTCTGGTACCTTAATCACTAGTTCAAATTGGCTATTTTGTATTTTTTATTGTATTTCTTTGACTCATGAGCCACCAAGTCTTGTACTTCTGGCAGTATACAAATTTAATAAATACATACATTTCTGAAAAGAAACATTGTTTCCATTTAAGATCCTGCCCAAGGCTAGGAAAATTATATTGGATAATTATGAGGATGCTAAGCTGGTCAAGTAGCTTGCCAAAATTATATTTTATCATTGCCCCAAAATTGATAACTTTTGTTTAATAGGTAGTCAACTTAAAACTAGAATTGGTACCAGAATTTATTTGTGCTTTCAGGCCATTCACTGGTACTTTGTGGTTGTGTGTATATCTTCCTTTAGTTAGATATATGCATAAAATGTAGAAATATTTATCCTTTCCTCAGCCTAATAATAAACACATTTCTGTCCTCGTGCAAATTCTGATAGAGGACCCAAGCATTGAAGATACAGGCCACCCATAAGGGTGAGATGTGAATTTTTTAATGTAACAATTGCTTGATCATAAGTTGAATGAAATCATTAATTTCACTCATGGATTTACAGAAAATTGTTTATGATTGGGTAGGGAACGCGACACTGCACATTAGGGGACTTTGGGTGAAAATACTGAATTTTGAGCAGAACTCAGACTGGTGCATAATCCATATGAAGTACAAAGACCATGAAGAACTCACATATTATCTTCAGAAATGTAGTAGAAAAACTGGACATTTTCTTTCAAAGCTTTCATTTGGTGTATGCCTCCTTTAATTTTCTCTTTGTTATTCATTATGAACTTTATTGAAGCAATAAGAAACAAATGGAATGAAAAAAAAAGAGAAATTCTCACAAAATATGAATGGGCTGTTGAATAATACCCAAAAGAATTCTGGGGTTTTTTTAAGTAGTTAAATTAGCAATCAAATCACATCATTCCAATGAGCATCAAAACTAAGAACAAGCTACAGGTAGTCCTCAACTTAAGACCACAATTAAGCCCAAAATTTATGTCTTTAAATGAGAAATTTGTTAAGTGAGTTTTGCTCCAATTTACAACTTTTCTTGCCACAGTTGCTAAATGAATCACTGCAGGAGTTACGTTAGTAACAGAGTTGTTCAGTGAATGTGGCTTTCCCATCAACTTTGCTTGTCAGAAGGTCGCAAAAGGTGATCATGTAACCTCAGGACACTGCATGGCTACCTTTTGAATATTGGATCTAGTTTCCTAGAAATGTGGATAATTGTAAAAATAACTATGGGTCTGTAGGGGTGCCATGTCATATTGATGATTAGACATCACTTATACCTATTTGAAATCTCTGGAATATCTTCTAGATAGAATATGAAGTCACCTGTCACATAATTTCAGTAGATTGTTTTTCATAATACTTGAATTATGTATCAGGGGTGGGTTCTACTTACCTTTACTACCAGTTTGCAGCGGGAGCGTGCGCGCATGTGTAGAAGCTTCTGCGCATGCGCAGATCACCCATGACGTCGTGGCAGGTGGCAGAGCCTCCTGACGGTTTTACTACCGGTTTCTATAGAACCAGACAGAACCGGGAGCAACCCACCACTGTTATGTATTTCATAATACACAAATCTTGTGACAAAGCATACTCCCAAACCAGCCATTTTATAGTAGCATTCAAATGTAACTACTAGCCAAAACAGCTCAGCATTCGCATCTAATGATTTTCTGTCTGATGAAAAAACTGAAATTTCAAATTAGATTATTTCAGTTGACAGTGGTTGAACAAAGTCTATCTTCATCTTTGCATGTTTTAGATACCTGCATGCTAGTGAAAGATAATCCCTTACATATATCTTTACTGATTTCAAATTAAAACCTCTACCATATGCCTCAACACATATAGAAAAGTAACTGAAGTTTTGTTACTCAAAGGATCCATCCAAAGCATAACCTTTTGGCAGTGAAGAACTGAACCTAGCAGTTCATGTTACTTCAACATTGAAGACCCTTCCCCGCCACCCCAGAAAATAACTTCTTGACTCTAAGAATTCTGTACACACGTGAAATATAGACCAGAAATACTATTTGGATCTTTTCCTTCAATATATAAACAAGCATAACGTTTGTACTCATATCTAATTATATGAAGTTCTGTGGAAAACATTGTTTTAAGTTATATTAAACAAAAATATTGACAATTCAAAAGTGTTCCAAACTTCCAAGCGCCACTGTATGCTTAAAATGTTTCTATTCATGTCTGTCCTATAGCTTTGAACTGAACAAAGTATAAACCTCAACACAATCCATTTGTTTCTATCTCCACTTGCAAATTCTGTACAAGGCTACTTGAACCTTTCCAGCCGTAGCTATATTACTCATTAACTGCTGTTTGTCACTCCCTTCATACATACTAGAATTTTTAAGCAACTCCTTGGACCTTTGGAAGTGACAAAGTTCACACCAACTATTATCCTGAAAAGAGAACGAAAGTTGGCATAAACTCATTAGCAATTCTAAATCCCCTTGTGAAAACGCCACAATTGGTAACCAAGAAATTTGAGTTCTGTGGCAAAAGTTTATTTTTAATTTTTAAACAGGAAATACTATTCCTTGCCTATCTGTGCCTTCTATACAAAGACAGTTTGGTGTGGCAAATATATAAGTAGATAACAGCAAAAAAGAACTCAAAGCTAAATGGATTAGATTATTGAGGAAGATTACAGAAACTTTAAG